ATTCAGAACTGCTAGACCAGAATATTGATATCCTGTTTGATTGACACCTCCATATATAAGTATACTTTGATTGTTGGATAATAGAGTTGCTGAGTGAAAACTAATGGGGGGAATAACTCCATTTTTTGTTGCCACCTAGGAATTGATCGTTTTAATAGAATGCGTAAAAATCAAAAATCAAAATGAATTGATTATAACCCATACAATATTTGTCTATTGATTAGTTTTTGTATCATATACATCAAGCTTTAAATATAGAAATAAAGATACTTCAATTAGTAGATTATTTATTCTTGATTAAAAAATAAATAGACTAATCTGGTGTTAGCCGATTAAAATTTATTCTTCACGGTAGCACTATCATTTCTTACCTGCCCTACATCTGAACTAAAGAATCTACCGATCATAATTATCCGTTCATCAGGCAATAAAGTTGCTGTATGAAGTTGACGACCGAAAGTAGGTTGGTTAGGAGTGGGTTTTAAAGTCTAGGCAGATTGTTTTATGTCATATATGTACATGGTTCCGTCGCCTTGGGTGGGTGTAGATAGGTCTTAAATATAAATGTTAGTATTGCAGAATGATTTTACGCAAGCTTGTATAAACCGGAATACTTGTTTAGTAATTTAATCAGAATTATTCCCAGTCCAACCTCATTCACGTACTTTTTTATGTACTTATTTCTACTATCTTATATCTACAGTATTATTTTAGGTGATTGAATATTAATCTTCAATATAAAAGATAATATGTAAAAAAAAAGTTCATTTTTAAAATACTATAAATATATGAAGATTTATGTTATGTGAATTGCAGGGAATAATCAGTTATAATCCTGGATAATTGGGTATAAGCGAAAATTTATTAGTAAATTATAACTTGTATCAGTTGCGTAAGCAGCCTATATGTCAGTTATAGTTTCCCAGTAAATTTTCCATTACCCTGAATACAAATATTGCATAAGATTTTTTATTAGTTCCTCCGGCTTATACAATATCAATATGTATGAAACTGTTTAAATAGATATTAAATAAATACATGCTGCCCAATGCTGTATTTCCGCCCCAAATATACATTTTTCTTATTTGTATGATCAATTACAGAAGTATGCTATTTTCTCATATTTGGCGTTGAATTCGTATCTTGAATATAACTGTATACTAGATCCGTTGAAGGTGATTGAATTATATAAAGTTCAAAAGTAGGTGAACCAGTACTACTATAACCACCAAAAACATAT